GATTTAGTCAGAAGAATTTTTGCTGGCAAAATCTTGAAAAGTGTCAATCTCAACTGAATTTAAATTAACGGAAATTAAAGAATACGCAAAAATTGAGAATAATCTAAAAAGTAAAAAAAGTGAATTGAAATTGGAAGGAGGCAAAAAATAATTGATATAGTAAGTGTTTATTGAGATTTTCCCCGCGGTACTGCTGAATGTCAAGATTATGTGTTTGTTGTAATATGCGTTCGCCAAGGCGAATTTATACAAGGTGGTGTTACTGGCCATTTTAGATTTTCGGCGCGATTCTTCTGAATGTCAAAATGATCGTGTTTGTTATAACAAGGCGAATTTATACAAGATGGTGTTAATGGCGAATTTAGATTTTCGCCACGGTACTTATTAATGTCAAAATAATGTGTGTACAACAAACACACTATTTTGACATTAATAAGTACCGCGGCGAAAATCTAAATCCGCCAGTAACACCACCTTGTATAAATTTGCCTTGGCATTGTGTTACAATATGAATTCGCCTCGATTACAACAACACATTATTTTGACATTCAAAAGGGCCGCGGTCAAAATCTAAATTCTCCTTGAACACCATCTTGTATAAATTCGCCTTGCACCCTTCCATAGTAGCAAGGCGAATTTATACAAGGTGGTGTTAATAGCGAATTTAGATTTTCGCCGTGGTACTTCATAATGTGAAAATGATGTGTTTGTAGCAAACAAGGCGAACACATATTACAACAAACACATCATTTTGACACGGTGCAGCGAACAAAGGTGGCGCCGTCAGTGGTACCGCTACTTTGGTTTTGCCGATTTTGACAGTTGTGGTAACTTGTAAATAAACCTTTGTTTACAAATCAGCGAAAGAGAAATTTGAATTATAAGTGAAAAATCAGTTTAAATCGTGTTAATTTGCAATTTGTGAGTGATTTTTGAGTTGAAGACTGCGTAAAAACTAATACAATGAAGTGCTGTGTGTTAAATTGCGACAACCGTCAAGAGGCAAGAAGCGTAGATGCAAGTGTAGCGCTGGGACGAATCGATGCATTTTGTGTACATAGGGCACGGCAAAGCCGTTCCCGAAATGTTTCTCTATTATTATATTAACAGCATTTCCTCACAATGATTTTGTTTCTGCTCCACACAGCCTCCATTAGCAAGTTAACTAATCAGTCCCGCAGAGATGCTGCTGTAGTTTTCTGCAGCAGCCTTAATTGCAAAGCAATGGAGTGCACTAAAACGTTTGCTGAAGCAGCCTCAATTGCAAAACAATGGAGTGCACTACAATGTTCACTGTTCTTTAATAGATTAGGTGAAAAATGCAATAATTTCGCATTTAGCAAAATTAAAACACGTTTTTCGCAGTAAAGTGAACTGCTTTCGCTGTTTCAACTCGTTCTTCTTCTCGCTCTATTCTTTGTTTACTTGTGGTACACAAATGTCAACGCCCAGGACGGCGCAATCTTGTATTCTATCATTCTTGTCATTTTGACATTAAGAAGTACCGCGGCGAAAATCTAAATTCGCCTTGCATAGTAGAGAAAATGCTGCCACCTGACAAAACTTTCAACAGGGTTGATTCCATTTGTGCGTAGTCATAAGCAGGTTTCCGGTCGCCAATGATCGGAATCTGAACTTTTGATTCCGTTTCAATGCCAAATATTCACCTAATGGAGGTATATTTAGGTAAACTTAACTTTCTTTACTGGAATAATCTTCCTTTAGTTTCTTCGTGCCATTAAATAGTCCGTGCTTCCAACTCCAATAAAAACAGTCTAAATCGCTCTTGTGGGAATTAATCAAAGTGAAGATCGGATCGAGACTGTAGAGTTTACATAGGAAATGCGTCAGAGGCATTGAAACTGGGTCATTAAAAATAATTTGGTTTTAAGAAAAGTCGCACAGTATCGTTTCAATGTTATTTTTTTACATAATTTTTTTCATAAATATATGTTTTTACTCTATCTTATTAAATTCTTTTAAGAAATTTGTTTCACATAGTTTTGTTCACATATTTCGCTAAAATATTAATTTTGAGTAAGTATATAAAACTAGGGTACAAAATGGAATATTTTCATTTTCATTAAATATTTTATACCCCTAGCTGGAATTTTTCTAATTTACTTACACTAATACTAGATTTTTGCTGTTAATGCATTTGTGGCTCGTATATGTCACAGACTTGCTTTTTTAAAACATGGGTCTGTGTCATTCCCTGGACTCCATGAGCCTTAATTTTCTAGTCAGGTTATCTACTTCCAGCCCCAAAACATCCAGATTTTCCTTTGAAAACAGAATATTTTATTTACACAAATAAAAATGTATTAGATGCTGTTTCAACTTACCTTTAATGTTATATTTTTGAGCAACGTATCCTCTAACACTGCCTGCAGTTTCTTATTTATTTCCAGAGATAACTCCAATGTCATACTTTTCGTATCACCTTTTATGCCATTGTATATAGCCGACATTACACCATTGCCATATTTGGCTAACTCGGATTTATTTTGATCACTTCTGGTGGAGGTAAGTGCACCTGCTTGATCGCGCAGCATATAATACTGGACAACTTTGGATTTTTTCTGCAACTCTGCCACCAATGAGAGTGTATGATTTTCAAGAAAATCTATCTTTTCCGTTTGCCGCGCCGAGGCCTGCTGCAAACGCAATATGCGTTCAACCAAATGTTTTTTCGATGGTCCCTTATTTCAATGGAAATATTTACGTAATTATTAATAGATGTATGTATGTGTATTCTAAAATAAAACTACTAGGTACCTGTAAATCTTGCTGTACCGTCGTGACGCTGCTGGCCATTGTTTCTGACTCCGAAGTCTCGCTTGGACGCCGACTTGTGCTGGGCTGGCTACTTTGACTACTCGTACGACTATGCGTGCGATGTTTTGTTGTTAAAGCAGTTCCACTCTCCCCAAATCCATTGATAGCAGGTGCGATAGCTTCGCTATTTTCCACGCTATTTTTAATTCCATTCCTGCACTGTGAACAATATAGACGTGTAGATGAAGATTCGGAAATTGCTCCGCGCTCTATGGACTTTTTGTACTTTTGCAATTCACGTTGAAGTTCCTGACCAGCAAAATGTTTTTTTTTTTTTGTAGCATCAAAATATTATAAATATAAATATACTATATAATATGTAAATATTTGTAATATGTGGAAATATGTATTGCTTTACCTTTATTACTGTGGCATGCTTATGCTTAGTCGCCTCGAAATCACCTTCAACATTTTCTAATTTAGTTTTTGTTACCTCGTACAATTTGGTTTTCTCTGAAAGATGCTTGGCAAATAATTGTCTTTCCTCCCGCTTTTTTTCTGCATCATTTTTCAAATCCGCTAACAACTTTTCATACTTGTTGTCGTAATCTAACTTTTCTTTTCTTAAAATATCATTTTCCGCGCCAATGCCTTGCACCTGAAAAACGAAAAGCAAAAAATCTTTTTTGTTAATTGCAAGTTTAACCTCAAACGAGTTCCTGCTTTATTATAAAATCACGTGCATTTGAACATAAGCATTTGACAGCAGCCGGACATAGCCTCGGTGGCGCAGTAGGCAGCGCGTAAGTCTCATAATCTTAAGGTCGTGAGTTCGAGCCTCACCCGGGGCATAATTTTTTACAACAATTTTTTTTTTTTAGCGTGCAAATAGCACATTTTAACTCGAAATTATTTAAAAAGTATGCTAAGAAAGTATAAGCGTTTAACGCGTACACAAATTCATATGTATGCAACTGTGTTGATTGTTAATTAATGCAGTACACATAAAATATATAATTTATCCTTACCTTCGACTTTAACAAACAAATCTCATTTTGCAGTCCAACAATCGATTCACTCATCTCTTTGTTGATACTCAACAGTTCATTTTCTCTTTCACGCAACTGGTATAAATCTTGTTCATTATCATGTAGTTTTTCCCCCATTTCTTGCGCGGCTTCAGTAAGCGTTGTGATTTTCTCTTCATTTCTAAATAAATACATTGTATATCAGATTTGTGGTGACACATGCATTACTTCATTTTAATTAACTTACAGTGTGTTTTGAGTTTTCAGCACCTGCAGCTCATCCAATTGACCACGTAATTTTGCAGAGTTCAACATCTCTTCGCTATAGGCATTTTGGAGCGAATTGTGTTCGTCCTGTAAGTGCGCTAAAGCAGTGGAGAACTCAGTTTTCTAGGAATTGGAGAAATTGTTAATAAATACTTTTGTAGTAAATACATGCCAATAAGATTACTTCCAAAATTTCTATGCCCAGTTGTTCTTGCAGCTGCTTGACTTCCTCTTTTGATTTATTGTACTCTTTGCTTACGTGCTCCAACTGATCTGTTTTGCTTTTGATTTCATGCTTTAATAAAATCGTGTTAGCTTCATACTCCATTTTTAAGTTTTCTGGAAATAAAAAATAAATAAAAAAATGTATCATACTGCGTAAATTTTCTTTTTACTCACCATTGGCCTTTTCTTCAAGTTTATTAGGCGCATTTCGTTCCTCCTCCAGCTTCTTTTCCAAAGCCTGAAAGTAAAAAAATAATAAGTCTAAATTAAGAAAACATTAAAGCCTGAACTCTCACCATTCGCGTTTCTATTTCCATATTCAATTTGTTCGCATGATACTTTAGCTTGGACTCTAGATGAGTGTAATCAGTTTTTAGTTTTTCACATTCACGTTGATACCTGCGAACTTCGTTGCACTAAAAAGGAGGTAATTCTTTAAAATATCATTTGTGGTAAATTTCGAAAATCACTTCA